CTGAGGCTAAACTGGGCAGCTTCTCATTCCCTGGCACAGCTCCTCCAGTCTGAAGATGGTTGGCACCTCTGCCTATTCTGCAGGAGGAAGATCCCCCCATGCACTGTGGGTAGAGCAGGTCCTGAGACAGTTCTCTTTTCACAGGCCAGGAGGGACGCAGGGGAGAGCTGGGGTGACTCCGTGGAGCCAGCCCCGGCTCTGGTCTGTTGTACAGCATGACTTCCCGGTCATCAGATCCCCTGTGCGTGACCCCACGGAACTATGGTGAGCATCATTACATCAATGAAGCATGTGCCAATAGATCACCACTGATGACCAAATACCAGCAGCTCCCAACAGTAGAAGACTCTCTTCCCAGAGCCCCACAGGAAATGGCTGCTGACAGCTCCCTGGGATGGCTGTGCCCATATTCCTCAAAGTCCCTAGACTGACCCCATGGCCTCACCCCAGTGCCCAGCAGATGCCCAGGTGCCTGTATCCCTATCTCACCAGGAGCTTTCTGAAGCCAGGGCTCAGCTCCACATCCTCAGAGCCCATGAGCTCTCATGGTGCCTACTCTTAGGGTGGAGGCAGTTGTCCTCTTCTGGTGCCTCCAGGGCTTTGGGTCACCAGGATCCTGATTTTGTCAGGTACTTTGGCAAAAACAGAATCTGTGCCAGGCAAGGGGTACCACTTGGGGAGGTGGAGACCAGGGACAAGGCCTATAGGGATGCCCTGCTCTAGGAATGTCCAATCAGCCAGCAATACACAGCTCAGTCACTCCCAGGCCACTCGAACGGTAACGTTAACCTTATGTGGCAGCCTCCAGGTAGCCAAATGCCTGTACTTCTTTCTGTAAGGCTAGACCAAAGGAGGCAGGCCGATGGCCTGTGAGGTGATGGACTGAGAGTCTAGGGGAATACTTTGGCCTGGGTACTCCCACAGTTGTGCTATGGCTCACCCTCCCAGCCAGGGTCTTGACTGTCCAAGTAGCCCAGGGCTCTGGCCTCCTGTGACTCACTCATTATCCTAGAAACGCCCATTCCACCCACCAAAGGCGTTTCTACTGGCAGCAGCTGGCAGGGTCTATGCTGTTGCTTTGTGGGAGTGTGGAGGTTAATGAGGACCACTAATACATAATACCCTCCTAAACTAGCTCTGAACTCTGCCTGCCCTGCCCACCCCACCATGCCCCAGAGGCTATGCTCACTGTGCAGAATGGCCAAGGCCAGGATGCCCCCGGTGCTGGTTCCTGCCACCCAGTCGAAGAGGTCCTTGGTGGCCACACCCGAGGCCTTCTCGATGGCGATGAGGAGCTGGATGATGACCAGGCCTTTCACGCCCCCTCCGTCCAGGCAGAGCAGGTGGTCATGGCTGCAATGAGGATAGCAGTGGGCCAAAGGGTCTCATGATGGCACTCTTGGCCCATCCCCTGAGCTTCTACACAGCAGGGGACACAGGAACAAAGCAAAAGGGCCTGCCTTGGAGCCTACTTGCTACTGGGTATGGAGCCGGTGAAGGGCAGGAAAGAAGCGAAGGCTGGGGAACAAGGTAGAGGTCGGGGTCAGGGCGAGGAACAGGATGGGGAGTGGGGTGAGAAGTGGGGTGAGAAGTGGGGTGAGATGTGGGGTGAGAAGTGGGGTGAGACGTGGGGTGAGACGTGGGGTGAGAAGTGGGGTGAGAAGTGGGGTGAGAAGTGGGGTGAGACGTGGGGTGAGAAGTGGGGTGAGACGTGGGGTGAGACGTGGGGTGAGACGTGGGGTGAGAAGTGGGGTGAGAAGTGGGGTGAGACGTGGGGTGAGACGTGGGGTGAGACGTGGGGTGAGAAGTGGGGTGAGAAGTGGGGTGAGAAGTGGGATGAGACGTGGGGTGAGGAGTGGGCTGAGGAGTGGGGTGAGGAGTGGGGTGAGACGTGGGGTGAGAAGTGGGGTGAGACGTGGGGTGAGACGTGGGGTGAGAAGTGGGGTGAGAAGTGGGGTGAGAAGTGGGGTGAGAAGTGGGGTGAGAAGTGGGGTGGGAAGTGGGGTGGGAAGTGGGGTGAGAAGTGGGGTGAGAAGTGGGGTGAGAAGTGGGGTGAGACGTGGGGTGAGAAGTGGGGTGAGAAGTGGGGTGAGAAGTGGGGTGAGAAGTGGGGTGAGAAGTGGGGTGAGAAGTGGGGTAGGGATCATGGTGGGGAGCAGGGTGGGGAGCAGGGTCGGGGCTCTGTGACCACAGCAGTGATTCAGGTCAGCAGGTCAGCTCCAGGCCTGACCCAATGTCTGTTGGAAGTAAACATGGAAGGAGAGGAAGGGTTGGTTCCTCCAGCTGGGTCAGGTGTGTGTGGTAAGGGGCCAGGGACCGCTCCTCAAGGGAGGATCCGCGGAGGAGGTGGGAGGCGGAAAGGAAAGTGTGCTGGGACTGGGGAAGGGTTGGCAGCATTAGCTCACCTCACTGGCCCAAGCCCCTCTGAGGAGGCTCCTCTCTACTGTCTTTATTATCGTTATCTTGGAAAGGGGTTCAGAAGTGAAGAGGATGGCATGAAGCCCCATGCTTGGCTTCTGAGTCAGACACTCTAGCAGGCTTGTCCAACCTGCAGCCTGTGAGTTGTATGTGGCTGATGACAGCTATGAGTGCAATCATAAACTGACTTAAAGCATAAGATATGTGTGTGTATGTGCGTGCATGTGCGCGCACGAGTGTGTAAGTTTGCGGTTACAATACAATCTTGTGTGTGAACTCTGTGGATGACGATGTCATGTCTCAGTGTTATAAGGTTGTACACTCCTGCCCAGCCCAGCCTAGTCTCAAAGATGGCAGAAAACGCAAGTTGCCAGCCCTCCATGGCCATGCCCTGGGGATGCTTGCAGTCTATGCTCAGCCCTCCCTTCTAGGCTCATTTTCCCCTCAGTTTTATGATTTTGTTATGTTTTTTGGTGTTGTGAGACAAGAGTCTCACACTAGCTCAGGCTGGCTTGAATTCACAATCCTCCGTCCACAGTCTCGAGTTGGGGTTTACAAACAGGTGCGACCATGCCTGGCTTCTTCTCAGCTTTAGTCACTGTCTGTAAGAACTCCATTGTGATTACTGGCTTTAACTGTCAGCTTGACACAACTGAGAATCACCTGAGAAGAGTCTTGATGAGAGACTGCCTACACTGGGTTGTTCAAGTCTGTAGGGGAGGAAGAACCCAGCCCACTGTGGGCAGCGCCATTCCCTGGGCAGCGAGTCCCGACCGCTGTACAAGTAAGTGGAGGCTCAAGCTGAGCACAAGCAAGCAAGTGAGCATGCGCACACCGATTTCTCTCTGCTCTTGAATGCAGATGTGGTGTGACTAGTTGTTTGAAATTCCTACTTTGACTTCCCACAGTGATGGGCTGTAACCTGGGATTATAAGATGAAACAAACCCCTTTTCCCTCAAGCTGTTTTCTGCCTGATGCTCTATTAAGTAGCAGAAATTAAACTAGGAGAGGCACCCAGTGGCAGCAGGATTAGCTGGAACAGCTGCCCCAGCCCCTAACTCCCTGTGGCGGCCCTGCCACCCCGAAGCAGTCATTCTTTGCTCACACTCCACCTCTGGACAAGCTCCGATCTCTGTCTCTGCTCCATCTCTCAGGCCTACCTCCTACAATGGACCAGGGCACACAGCCTGAGAAACAGTGAGTCTGAGGAGGGAGGAAGGCAGGTTGGGAAGCCAGCAGCGAAGGGAAGCACATTACAGGCATCTCTCTAGAAGGGGTTCAAGCAACCTTCTCCCCACAAATCATGAAGTCAAGGAAAAGACAATGAGACTACACTGCATGAGTCCAAGCTCAAGCCTGCTGCACGGCTGCACGGCTGCACGGCCCTGAACTGGTCTCTGGAGGGGGCATCATCTGTCACAAATGAGTGGCCACAGGCTCCAAAGACTTGGTCTGCCATGACTGTGCGCAGCTAGGAGAGGGCCCCCCAGCACACGGTGGGCATGAGGAACAAGTCCACTGAGGCACAGGAAGTCCCACATCCGGGCCTGGCCCTCATTCTACTCACGTTCGCTTCTCATCCCTCATGGAGCTCAGGATGAATGCTGGCTTCCGGGCTCGGGAGATGGGCAGGAGGTCCTGAAGCTCTGTGGGGACAGGGCAGGACACTCTGGGGCCAGCAGGTCTCTCCCAGGCCCCATGGGTCTCTAGAGCAAACAGAACTGCACCCCATCCTGCTATATATCTCCCCACGGCTGAACTCACACTCCACTCCTCCCATCGTCTGCCCCCTGCCCCAGGAGGGCCTCTCTGCTGAGCTAGACACCAAGGGCCTGCTAGGCAAAGGGGAGCTGGGATGAGGAGGGAGCCCGCTGCTTTAGGAAGGGCTTCCCATCGTCCGGCTAGCTCCCAGAAGCTCCTTCATCCCCTCCTACAACCCTGAAGCTTGACCTCCGGGTGTGTGCTGTGATGTGTCAGAGCCAATGCTGCTGACAGCACCCATGCCTTGACTGCAGTCCTTCAGCTAACAGAGCTTTATCATGGAGGACACTGATCAGGGCCAAACTCCACAAATGAATGGAAACATCCCACCATCCCTCAGACCACCCCTGTCCTCGTCCCAGGTCTGGAAACTTCCTCCATGCCTCTGGACTCAGATCTGCCCATCTGCTCCATCTAGTCTGGTCTTCCTCTGTGCACTAGCACCCACCCCAACCCCCCAGTCACCCTGCATGACTGGGTTGACAGCCACTGTGCAGCGAGGCTAAAGGCAGCAAGGTGGGTGGGTACCAGCATGCCTCCCTCAGCAGGCACATGCCACAGAGCAGGCAAGGTACACATGCAGGAGACGGGCCGGCAAGGCAGCAGATGGTGCCAGGGACAGGGTGGATGGTGCCAGAGACAGGGTGTAGGATGGTGCCTATGCCTGGGTGTGCAGCTTGAGAAGGGGGTGGGGTTTAGAGCTCTAGCTACAGTGGGGGGGGGGCAGGCTCAGCGCTTCTTTAGGCTCAGGCATTACCCATTCACTGCCGTACCCCAGGCCCACCATCCAGCCTGGTTTGAGTGACTGCCTGCCTGTAGACGGAGAGAGAAAGATGGGGTGCTGGGGGATTTCGGCTTTTCTGCCCTCCAGAGTTCCAGGACCGGCTAGCTGGCAGGAGGGGCTGGGCTTGGGGTTTCTACATCCACAGTTAGAGAGGTGTGGCTGGCTAAGACTCAGTTCTGTTTAGGGACTCTCACTCCCAAACACCCTGGGCCCCCGGGTGGTCCAGAACACAGAAGGTCCTAACAGGGTCCCCATCTACTCTGGGACTGTCTCTAAGGGCATTAGTTGGACACAGCTGCAAATGTTGGCTTCTGGGCCACCTCGAAAGCCTGTAAGTAATCCAAGGAGCCAGCAGGGGGCATAGCGAGTCTCCTGCTGGACAGAGGCAAACACTGAGAGCATTGAAGTCAGGGGGCCGAGCAGCACTCCTAACCGCTGTCCACCCTTCCCTCCCAGGGAGCCAGAGCTGTGACAGTGCCCACCTGACAGGTACCACAGGAAATGGCCACCCTGAGCCCATGTCCAGGGCATTCTCTCAGGGACGGTGGACCACGGGACCAGGTAGGCTTCAGGGATCTGTGGGTCATTTGGTGGCCTACACTGGCTGATAAAGCTTGGCTCTCTCCACTTCAACTACTTCTGCCCTAAAGCCTTGTTCCTTTTAGTGGGGACTGCTGGGATTTGAGGGCCCAGAGAGAGCTGGGGAGAGGGGGGACGCAGTGGCCTACCTAGGCTGTTTAAGCTGATCTCTGGGGGCTGAGTTTTGTCCAGAGAGAAGAGGGGATGAGGTGTTGTTGCAGAGCTCTGGTCCGTGGGGACCCCCTGGATGAGTGGGAAGCGGTAGTCGGCCCCGACAGTTCTCAGCAGACTCAAGAGTGCCTTCCTGGTGATCACTTGTCGGTTTGGGAAGGAGAGATGGCAGAGGGTAGACATGGTATCAACTAGCAAGTGAGAACCCCCTCTTTGCACATGGTCCCCATCTAGCAGGTAACCTGGCTGTGTGGGGCAACTACCCTGACTGGCATGTTGACTGGTCTACTACATCAAAGCAGTCTCCTGGTACCAGGGAAGGGGCCGAGGAGGACTGTGGGATATGGCAAGAGGAGGCCAGACTCATCCTAGTTACTGTGAGCATCCCATCTCTCCTTGCACACCAGCTGTGATGCAAAGCAACTAACTCCATGGTTAGCAGTTCTCAAAAACGACAAAGGCTGTCTGTCCCCGCAGAGTCCCGGAGGGGTGAGCCAGCCAATGGCACCAATCCCGGTGAACAGAGGACACAGGGATAGGACACCATGACTAGCACTTTTGCCTGCTTCCACCTTGGGCTCCATGTGCAGGGTTGGCTCTAAACCCAGGGCTGGACAAAGCTGGAGGGAAGAAAAGGGGGGGAAGAGGGGGAGGGGGAGTGGGGAGGAAAGGGGCCCACCTAGGTTGTTTAAGCAGATGGTGGGGCTGAGCTCTCTGCTGGGAGAAGAGGTCAAACCATCAAGGCCACACCCATGCTAACCCACACTCGTGCAAGCCATCCAGAGGGGATGTAGGCTTCTGTGAAGGGAAGCTGCCTCCTGTACCTCTGGAGCTAAGCACAGTGGACAGGGGCGGCAATGCACATGCGTGTCTAGGCATGCATCCAGCACGTTGAAGAAGCATGGGCGTATGTGGACAAGCACGGCACATGCAATGACCCTATGCTGGCTCTGCTGCTGTAGACCTGGTCCCACCCCCACTGGGACCTGAACACCCTCACCCTGAGGTGAGGACCATGCTCAGCAAAGCCCCTGGTGGGCCTGCATCTACTGTTCCCTGTCTTTGGGGAAGGAGGCTCCCTTTGAGCGGCATATGCTCCTGGCCACTCAGCAGGGAGCAGCTGGGCCAGTCTGATACCTTACAGCTGGAACTTCTCTCTTCAGTCCCTAAGCCCTCCCCCCAACTCTGTTCCCAGATTGCAGAGCACATACGTTTGCTGATCTTGGAGGCTATGAATGCAGGAGTCTCCCCAAAGTCATTTGGGGTGTCCACTTCTGCCCCAAATACAATGAGGGCTTTGATCATCTCCAAGTTATCTTTCTGTTGGCAATAGAAGGTGAGAAAATAAGCAATGGTCCAAGACCCCACCCACCAACGTGCTCACAGGGCCTCTCAGCAGTGTGAGGAGACACTAGGGTCCCCTGACATGACAAAGAACGCTGCTCGAACACCAGTGCCTCCGCCAGTGACTTCAGAGCATCCCTCAGTGAGGGCTTAAGAAGTGTTTGAAGAACACTGGAGCAGATGAAGTCCTGAGTGGATGTGTATTACTGACATGGGCATAGCACCAAGGACCCCAACGCCTCAGGCCCATGGGGATGTCAAAGCCGTTCCAAGTTAGGCTCGGAATTGGCAGTCTTCCTCTGGTTTGCAGATGTTGACAGTGTGTCCAAGAACGAGCAAACACAGCTTCCTCTTCCCATCTGACGGCAAGCTGAGACCACGCCCCCAGACCACGCCCCCAGACCACGCCCCCCGAGAGACGCCCAGCCCACGGGAACTAGCTGACCCTGCTCCTTGTGCTGCACTTACTAGGTAAGCAGGGCTTCTGAGTTGTACAGCAGTGCTGCTGGCCCCAGCAGAGCCAGCCCAGATTTTCTGTGTGTGTATCTGTTGTTTCTTCATTCCCGCATCGCCCCAGTCAAGTTCAAGGACAAGCTGTCCAGGACTTGGCACAGAAAGATTAATCCTAGCTCTTCCTCACAGGAAGCAATGTACTTGGGCTGACAACCCAGAAGCCATGGTGTGGTGATTTGAACAAGAATGGCCCCCATAGGCTCATATATTTGAATGCTTAGTCACCAGGGAGTGGAACTCTTTATAGGATTAGAAGGATTAGGAGTAGGTGTGGCCTTGTTGAAGGAAGTGTGTCACTGGGAGTAGGTTCTGAGGTTTCAAAAGTCCATGCTAGACTCAGCTCTCTCTCTCTCTCTCTCTCTCTCTCTCTCTCTCTCTCTCTCTCTCTCTCTCTCTCTCTCTCCCCCCCCCCCCCCCCCCCCCCCCCCCCCGTGCTCTCAGTTACTTCTCCAGCCTGCTGCCATGCTCTCTGCCATGATGAGGATAGACCAAGCCCCTGAAACTGTAAGCAAGCTCCCAATTAAATGCTTTCTTTTATAAGAGTTGCCTTAGTCATGGTGTCTTTTCAAAGCAATAGAACAGTGAGGCACCTGGGGACATGGAAGGGTCAAATGCTGACAACACTCAGGAGCAATACAGGATGCATGAGGACTGAGGATGCCATCTTACCTGTCCACTCCAGGCAACCTTGCACAGACCCTCCCCAGGGGCAGCCTTTAAGGGAGTAGTTTCCTGCCCCAGAATGCCATGCAGCTAAACCTTGGGTAGGTAAGCACAAACCAAAGTTCTAGCTGCCTAAAAACCTAGGCTCTGGTCCAAGAGCCTGATTTCCCTGCCAAGAGAATGCAGTGGTGCATCTAGAATGTTCTTTTCCAAGCAGTTCATGTTCCACTTGAATTTACATGGACACAGGCAAATGTGTGTTCTGGTCACCCAAGGCTTTCTTTTTGGGGTTTTTAACATATGCACTTTTAGCATATGCACTTCCAAATAAATTTAAGTGTGTTTGAAAATAAACCAGCTGAGTGTGGCAGTGCACACCTAATCCTGGCACTTGGGGGTTGAGTTAGGGGGGCTACCACAATTTCAAGGCTAGTCTGGGTTGTAAAGCAAGACCTTGTTTTGGGGAAAAAAGAATAAACTCACTTGAAGAAGTGATTAAATATATAACTGTCAGAATGGCCAGTGATTTACCAAAACCTGGGAAAATGGCACGTATGTGACAGTCCAGGGAACAAAAACACACCAACAGTCCTCAGAGTGAGACCTGGGGGCCATGAGTCTAGGAGAACACTCCAGACAGTCGAGGATGTCATCACTGTTTTCACAAGAATGCCAAGAAGTGATATGTCTTGTGAACCATGTTGACACAAGATGGTTCAGAAACAATGATGAGTGAAACTGCCAGTGCCTCAGAACTTACTACAACACTAGCATCAAGTTCACAGCCAGCAGACGTCTGTTCTTCACAACTACATACACTCTCTCAAAAAATGAAATAAAAGGAAAGAAGGAAGGGAGGGAGGGAGGAAGGAAGAAAGAGGCCAGTGCTGTGGGATGGTCTGTATGTCAAATGTGTTGCTGATTGGTCGATAAATAAAACACTGATTGGCTAGTAGTCAGACAGGAAGTATAGGCAGGACTAACAGAGAGGAGAATTGAGAGAACAGGAAGGCGGAGGGAGACACTGCCAGCAGCCGCCATGACAAGCAGCATGTGAAGATGCCGGTAAGCCATGAGCCATGTGGCAAGGTATAGATTTATAGAAATGGGTTAATTTAAGATATAAGAACAGTTAGCAAGAAGCCTGCCACGGCCATACAGTTTGTAAGCAATATAAGTCTCTGTGTTTACTTGGTTGGGTCTGAGCGGCTGTGGGACTGGCAGGTGACAGAGATTTGTCCTGACTGTGGGCCAAGCAGGAAAACTCTAGCTTCAGGCCAGCTCCACTGAAGAATGCATCAGTAAGAATTAGACAGCTGTGTGAGTTACCAGCTCAACTAACTGCTTTGGTTGATGGAAGGTAGCAAAGACCACCAAATAAACTAGCAGTGTTTAGCCTTAGCCACCAAGTATACATAATAGAGACAATGCCAGGCATGGTGGTGCATACCTTTAATCCCAGCACTTGAGAGGCAGAGGCAGGAAGATCTCTAAGATTGAGGCCAGCCTGGTCTACATATCAAGTTCCAGATCAATCAGAGATACATAGTGAGTTCTTGTTTCAAAACAAAACAAAGCAAACAAACAAAAGATTGAATGCAGTGAGCCTGTTGCTGTGAATATGTGTTGATCTGATTGGTTGATAAATAAAACGCTGATTGGCCAGTAGCCAAGCAGGAAGTATAGGCATGGCAAGCAAACGAGGAGAATTCTGGGAAGAGGAAGGACTGAGTCAGGAGTCCCCAGCCAGACACAGAGGAAGCAAGATAACAAGGCAGAACTAAGAAAATGTACCAAGCCACGTGGCTAAACATAGGTAAGAATTATGAGTTAATTTAAGTGTAAGAGCTAGACAGTAAGCCTCAGCTAATGGCCATACAGTTCATAATTCATATAAGCCTCTGTGTGTTTATTTGGGTCTGAGTGGCTGCAGACTGGGCAGACACAGAAAAACTTCAAACTACAGGGTAGTAGTGGTGCATGTCTTTAATCCCAGCACTTGGGAAGTAGGCAGATCTCTGTGAGTTTGAGGCTAGCCTGGTCTACAGAGCAAGTTCCAGGACAGCCAGGGCTACACAGAGAAGCCCTGTCTTGGGCGGAGATTCAAACTTTAAAAAAAAGCAACCACAATTTTCCCATATTTGCCTATGCTGTGATGGGCTTAACCACTTCCTTACATTGAAAGGCTTTCCTGCTACACATTCACTGCACCAGTATTTTCCAATGTCAACATGAAGTCATGCATGTATAAGGGGATCCCTGCAAAGTACAAGAGGAGCCAGGGGCAGCGGGGGTGACAACATTCAGGCAAATGGCTTCAGAGAGGCCCACGCAGTTAGCATGTCAGAGTTCTGGCATGACCAATTCTGGCACAGCATCAAAGCAATTCAGCAAGCAGCTAAAAAGGTGTACACTTCCCATCCATGGGGGGAGGGTGGGAAGGTGGCTCTAGAGCTTCCTGAGTGCTTTAACATGCCCCAGGAGACATGAGGATTCATGTGTATTCTGCATAAAAAGATTCATAAAAGTTTCACAATGTGTAAAACAATGTCACATGTTTTACTCATTAATTTTATTTTGGTTTGGAAAATAAAGTTTTCCATAGAAATGTTACTGATAGCCAGGTGTGGTGACATACACCTTTGATCCCAGCACTTGGGAGGCAGAGGCAGGACCTCTGAGTTTGAGGCCAACCTGGTCTACAGAGTCAGGGCTACACAGAGAAACCCCGTCTTGAAAAAAACAAAACAACAAACAACAACAAAAAGGGAAGGGAGGAAGAAAAAGAAGAACAAGACACGCCCCTGATGCGGGCGGCTGTGCTACCAACCTCCCTGGTCTTACTAGGGTTTAGCCTCTTGGGCAATGTACCCACTACAGTCATAGAACAAAACAGGCTGTCCTTGACTGCGGCTGACTGCTTCCCTCAGAGTCTCATCCGAGACTAGATGGATAGCAGATGGTACTCTTCCTGCCACGGGCGAAGCAAGCTCACACTCTTGTCTCAGCATACTGGAGACACTTTAAGGCCGAAGTCTATTTCCTAACAAACCAATGGCTGCCCCCCAGGCCCTTTGGGCTAAGGATGTCTGATGATGTAGCAACCAAGGAAAGGAGGGGAGTGAGCTGAGGCACAGGTGCCTCTCTTGTTCCTCCCACACCCCCACCACGGCTGGCAGGGCCAGCACAGGGAGGCCATGGGTCCCAGGCTCACCGACATGGCTAGGTGCAGGGGCGTGTTCCCATTCTCTCCTCGGAAACCTGCGTTGGCCCCGTAGGTCAGCAGCACCATGACACAGTCAAAGCGGTTACGCATCACCGCCACATGCAGGGCCGTGTTCCCCGCGGTACTTGTGCTGTCCACGTCACAGCCCCGCTTCAGCAGCATTCGAGCCATCTGGGGACACAGACCAGGTGGGCACTCAGGGGGCAGCCTCCCTGGGCACTCCTCCAGTATAAGCAAAGGAAGAGAAGTCCAGAGGCAGGCCCCACTTCTGCAAGTGACCCTCGACCTTCACCCCCACACACCAGTTCCCCAGGAACTAGGTGACAAATAGGTGAAGACACACAGACTGATTCCAGAAGCTTCTGGTGTTTTCCTGGAGCTACAAAGAGTTCTCTGGGCCGGGTCCCAGAGCAACGACTCCATGAGGTCCTCCATGGGGTATGTCCCAGGGGTCTTTGCATGGTATCCGGGCTCACTTTGAACTGTGGGGAGGACAGTGCTGAGCCTAAAGCCCCATCAGCCCTTCCTGCAGCCTGAGCCTGGATCTGTCACTGCCCCTCCAGCTCCTCAGTCCTGACATGGGACACATTTTCATGCCTCACAGATATGGCAAGGAAGAAACATGTCTGAACAAGGCGGTGGCCCACAAAGGCAGCAGCCTAGCCCACTTGCCCGTCATATGCAAGTACAGGTCAGGGTGTTGGTGGCCCACAGATGTTGCCAAGCTAGGCTACCTGGGCATCCTCTCAGAAGGGCTTCAGGAGAGACCTCAGCCTGGGTGGCCACCAGGCTTCTCTGTGGGGGCCGCTGTGCCCAATGGCCATATCACCATCGCCCCCTTCTACATGTGAGGCACAAATTTTCATGTACTGCCTTGCTAACTTCTCAGTACCTCCAAAGTCAGAGAGCAGGACCCCCAGTCATGGTCGAAGAAATCAAGTCCACCAGCCAGTGAGCAGCAGGGCAATGGTAGGACCTCAACTGTTCGTGGGCATGTCTGCCCCATGCACCCTTGTGAGCCTTGTTCCAGGTGCCACCGTCATCCTCTCAGGAGTCTCCTCTGGACCTACCCTGCCCCTCACCCGCCAACTCTGCCCACCTCGGCATTTTTGGCCCAGTGCAGCGGGCTGGCTCCATAGCGAGGATCCTTGCTGTGGATCTGGTTGCTGTCTATGCTGATGATCATTTCAGCACACCTGGGAGAGAGAGAGCCACAGGACAGTGAGGGGCACCACAGCAGCCATGACTTCAGCTTCCGCTACTGGTGAGGGAGGCAGCAATACAGCCAACTAGCTGGCCTGCCTCTAGACGGCCTCCTCTAGCGCACCAAGGCAACAATGTCAATCAACAGAACTCTGTTAAACTCCAGAACTGGCACACAGCAAATGAAATGAGCAACAAGGTGAAAAGACAACCTATATGCCGGGGTGAAAAGTGAAAACTAAGGGGAAGCGAGGTTGGGATGACATCTGCAACCCCAACACTCAGGATGCTGAGGCAGGAGGATTCCAAATTCCAGGCCAGGCTGGACTACATAGCATAAGGTGTGTGGGAGGGGGGCACACAATGGTTCAGCAGGTAAAAATGCCTGCTGCTATGCCTGAGGACCTGAGTTCAATTCCTGGGATACACCTGAACAAATAAATAAATGTAAGACAACAGCAACAATAACTTTTTTTTTCCCCAGAGACAGGGTTCCTCTGTGTAGCTTTGGAGCCTGTCCTGGAACTCACTTTGTAGACCAGGCTGGCCTCAGACTCACAGAGATCCACCTGCCTCTGCCTCCCGAGTGCTGGGATTAAAGGTGTGTGCCGCCCGACTCAACAATAACTTTTAAAAAGCGAGCCATGGGGCTGGAAAGCTGGCTCAGAGCTTAGCTTAAGAACACTGGCTGCTGTTCTTCCAGAGGACCTGGGTTGGATTCCCAGCACCCATGTGGTGGCTCACAACAGTAATTCTCATTTCAGGTCAGTTTGGGGGTTGGTTGGAAGCTAGCGGTCTGCTAAGAATATTTTACCTGACAGACACAGAGAAGGGCATGAAGCTGTTAAGGGGACTAAAGAACCTCCAAAATGTCATCAAGTGTGGTGACACATGACTATAATCTCAGCACAGGGAAGGCAGAGACAGGAGGGTCAGGAATTCAAGGCCAGCCTGGTTTGGTTTTGTTGTTGTTGTTGTTTTGCTTTTTTAAGATTGCCCAAGAGAACTCGGCTTTGGATCTCAGAATTCTGCCTACACAATCAAGACACTCTACTCCATTACGTAGCCTTGTAGAATCCCCAGCATAGGCAAGGCTTTCCCTGCCCTGGGAACTTCACTTTATAGACCCAAACAGACATTCCCCAAAGAAGATATACAAATGGCCAGCGGGTCTCTGGCAAGCGGTTCAACCTCAGTGGTCAACAGGGAAATGCAAATCAAAACCACTGAGATCCCATCTCTTAGCTGTGAGGAAGTTATTACCAAAAGATATTCAGACACAGTGCTGGCGAGGGTGTGAGAAAGAGGGAGCACTCCCACACTGAGCAGAGGATCTCCATCACGGAAACTCACAGAGATTAAACAGTTCACTTCGGGATGAATAGTAGATCAATGAAAAAAATCAAGAAGAAAAACTCCTGGAACTAAATGAAAACAAAAAACACAACACAAAACCTCTGGGACACTTAAAAGCAGTCTTAGGAGGAAAATTTATAGTTCTAAGTGCTTACATTGAAAAATCAGAAAGAGCACTAATAAATCACTCAATGATACCACTCAAGAACTTGAAAAAACAAGCAAGCTAAACCTAAATCGAGTGGGTGGCAAGAAACAGTAAAAATGAGAGCAGAAAAACAAGCTAGAGACAAAGAAGACAACAGAGTCCCCGCGCTCCACTCCCTGCACAGAGGTCTCCATCAGACTGTGACTCCAGACACACCGAGGATGGCCCGGGGGGCAGAGAGGGCACCAAGGAGGGATCACACAGGCAGTGACCAGCTATTGCACGGTGCCTGAGGCAGGTGGACAGCCTGTCCCCTTGTCACTCACAACCTGTCACTATCCACCTGTCTGCTCCCCACCTCTGCACTACAGAACACTCTAGTCCAGCACCGTGGGGGCGGGGGGCGCTGGAGTCAGTCCTGCTCCATGGCCGGGTCTCCTCTCATTCATTTCTCAAGTCAGTGCTTGCTCAGCACAGGAGCCAGGACGAAGGCCAGCCGACCCCATTCATTCACTCACTCCAGACCTTGTTCTGGCTGGGCAGCATTTTCCAGTAAGCTACCTCTTTGGTTCTCCTCCAACACAAACGAAGAACTTCTTGGGACCTGAGAACTTCTAGGGTTTATGGGAAAGCGAGAGAGTAGTCTTGGACCCCTAAGACAAGAGCCTGGTACCTGCCTCCTGCAGCACTGTGAGCTGGGAAGAGGCAATGCACTAGACACATAGGGCCTTGGACAGCCAGGGCTAGCATCCTTGGCCTTTGGCACACAGGAGCTGAGTGCTGCAGCCCTCCAAGCCTCAGGGTTGCAGCAGACTTGAGAACTGGCACATAAGCATAGGGGAGGAAAGGCTCGTGGTCAAAAACTGGGTGCATTAGCGCAAAGCTCTACAGGGTCTATTCCTTGTGCGGTAGTTTGTGGACTCGGGTGTCCAGCTCCAAATAAGAGCATCAAGTGCTTTCGTGAGGCAGGTACCCTTGGCTGGTTACCTGATGAGGCTTGAAGAACCAGGGCCTCCACCCTGGGCCCTGCAGGGGAGTGGAGTCATGTGATGGCGAGGCTTACCCCTTCTGGGAGAACTTCATGGCTGTGTGGATGGGGAAGCCTCCGGGTCCCATGATGTTGCAGCGGGCATTGCAAAGCAGCAGGACGCGCACCATCTCCTGCTTGCCCATCTGGCAGGCCAGGTGCAGTGGGGTCAGTCCTTGATTGTTGACCTGGTTCAGGCCGGCCGAGGCGTTCTTCCCTAGGAGCTGACAGGACAAGACAGGGAAGCCACCTGGCACTGCCCTCTCTAGCATTCCAGGGGCCATCTGCCTCTGGACACCAAAAGGGAAGGGACACTTGACTCCACGAGGATGAAGAGGAGCCACAGTAATGAATGGTGCTCTGGAGAAGATAAGACAGCCTGACAGTGAGGTCGGTGTGTGGGGCGGGGTGTGGATCTGGCCTGACTGGGGCTCATCTCAACACTTGTGAAGAATCTTAACAAGGCGTGGTAGCACATGCCTGCAATGCCAGCACTAGAGAGACTGAGGCAGGTCAAGTTCAAAGCCAGTCTAGACTACACAGTGAGTTCTAGGCCAGCCTGAGCTACAGGAGACTGTATACAAAGAACAACAAAAGGAACCTTCAGTTTTCTAGGTGGAATGAGTCTTGCTTCCCAGCAAATGTTCTCTGTCCTGACTAGTCCTGTCTAGAGTCCTGTGAGAGGAGATGCCTCAGCTGAGGAGTAGTCTGGGTCTTATTAGTCTGTGGACATGCCTGTGAGGGACTGTCTTGATTATTAATTGATGTAGGAAGGCCCAGCCTACTGTGGGTGGTACCATCTTCAGGTGGGTGATCTTACACCTAGCTAGGCCAAGCATGAGGAGCCAGTAAGCAAGCCAGAGAGCAGCAGTCCTTCATGGTTCCTGCTTGAGTTCTGGCTTGAGTTCCTGCCCTGACGTTCCTAATGATAGATTGTGGTCGGAATGTTCTATTACAGCAAGAGAAAGGTAATCAGGACACTGTCAGTCCTGCTGAGTACCTTTCCGCACGCAGGTTCTCAATTCTGCATTATGTTTTCAATAAAGAAGTCAACGTGGCCCACTGGTAGAATGCTTACCTGGCATGCATAAGGTTCTAAGTCCAATCCCTGCTACCGCCCCTTCCTGCCCACCCAAATCCTAAAGTACTGGAACCTTTTGTATGGATTGGTCATTTTGCAAAGAACCTGCACATACTCCCCCATGTACTTTGTTCTACGGGATCCACTCTGTCACCCAGGCTGGCCT